CTATGTACGTAAACACAGAGTTTGTGAGATGTTACCTATCAGAGGTCCATGTGTCATACGGACTAAAACGGTTAGGTAGGACGAGGCCTTACGCCGTCTACTTCTCTTCCTGCACGATGCTGCAGCCAAGGTCTAGCTACATGTAGCTTCACCTATTCGTCGACCTGCATGAGCTCCACTTGGCGCCGGATACCAGCCTGCCAGCCTCTTCTCATCTGTCACGAGTCGCTCTATCAGATTTCCACTATCAGGAGGCCGATCATCTGTTTACGACGAGGGCCAGAAAAATAGCAGCGATCACGGATCTAGCCATGGATAAAGACAGATGCGTATACGATTGCCGATGCACCAAGGTCATCCCGGCGTGTGGGGAGCTGCGACGACCCGGTTGATTATGAGCTCACAGATATCACACAAGCTCACATGGCATCAAACGAGCGACCATGGAGAGTCTTGTTGAAGAAACAAATCAACATATAGATGTTTCACGATATGTCGGAAGACCCATCAAAAAGTATAGGATGGAACCAGAGAGCGTCATTGAGCATTAGGACCAATGATCAGACGAGCCGAACCCAGACTCTGACCGGCTTCCATCACGGCCGACACATGTCGAAACAAGCCATGATTGGCCTGCCAAATATAATCCTTGCATATTAATATAACTTATGCGAAAGTACGCCACAGCTGAAGGACTAGGCCACAATAGAGGTAATTGTGGACTATAGAAAGAGGCTTGGACTCAAAGGTCTCAGTAACCAACAGGAATAAATCGGAACCGGCGGGAAGGAAACCAATACACACAGACAATACACACAGACCGAAGAGAAATTGTATCTTACGATTTCACTTGTATAGCATAATTGCTTTAACCCAGAATATTACGGGGAAGAAGCCGGTGATAAGAAAGCAGGAAATTTGACATATTAGATATTTTCAACTTCTAGTCATCGGTCGCGCCTAGGGCTCTCTGCCTTGGATGAACACCGGATGTCTAATAGTACAATGCCATGTACGCATGGCGTAACAGAAGCTTGACTTATTACCTTGTTATCCCCGGCACTTAGGGACGACCGGGAACGGATGTTCCGTCGAGCGTCAAAGTTGAGATTACCCCTCATCTCTTCGCGGTCTGGTTCCCGCTTGCGATTCCACTAAACCATCTTGCTATGCGATCAGAAATGATATCTGTTAACTAGACCTTCCAGATCTATATCAGTCATTCGAGTATAGATAGACGATGGTTGGGATTATCAGCGTCTATAGGACTACATGTGACCGGTGGGGAGCCTCTAATATGGGGCGAACGAAAGAACGATTATAGCGGCCCAGAACGCGCTGGGAAGCGAGTTATACTAACTAGACAAGGAAAGATGGTGTGAAGCGATGGCTTCGAGGAAGAGTATACTATAGTAGAGGAGGGGAGCACAATGAGGAGCATTAGGCTACCTAAGGTTAGGGGGGGGATCGGTGTTGAGAATGAGGTCCTCGGTTGTACCTTGGGGGACTTTATGGAGGGACGGTCTCGCTGCCGCCATTGGTCCAAGCTATGAGATGAGGTCTTGTCGGCCAACCAGCTGACACAATGAATGTTCAAAGCTTGGAGCCGTGAACCCACAGACCATCTGCAAATCATCATCTATCTTGGCGCCCTGTTCATCCCCACTCTACCTTAAATGCTACCGCCCAAGCCGCCTGCGGTCCATGTCCTCGCCCCACGCTCACGATCCCATCCATGGATCCCCCCTACTACGCTATGTACCTAGCATATGTATGTACATATCTGCCTAGGGGGGACCCCTCCATGAATCCATGAATCCATGGAAGCTTGCTAAAACAGGCTGACATGATGACAGGGTTATGGTACACTCGGCATGCAGTCGCGTCTTCTCTCGCGTCGCATAGATCCCTCTTTTTTTTTTTCTTTTATCCCTCGATCTAAACTAAGGTGTCCTTATCTTTCCTCGTGTAAGTGTGGCTTGCTTAAAACCCCACACTCGCGTCTGCAACCGTCCGGGCCAACCGAGAAAGAGGTTGTTTGCTTAATGCTTCTCACGGGAGCACAAGCGTAAGCCTTCTCTTTTTGACAGTTTGGCACAGCCATGAATCCATCCCGCCCGGCGAGAAAGGTACTGTGTAGGTATGTAGGTAATATACCTAGTGTAGTTGTACAATAGGCGGCGGCATCGCCACCAACAAACCCCATGGCTTTGGCTTGCCCTCCTCCTTCGGCAGATTCTTTCGAAGGAGTGCACTCCACGATCTGTCTATCGAGCTGCCGACCCACTGAGGAACGCTCAGACGTGCCTACCAGCCTACCATGACCTGCTCGTCCGTTGCTTCTGCATGGCACGACAGAGCGGGAGATTTCCCAGATCCCTGTTTACCCGCTCTTGCAGGCGGCCGAGCATCCACAATTGATCGTTTTTAGCTTAGATTCCTGCTGCGTCGATAGCCTCTCTTTTACTTTAGGTGGACGAACGTATCACAAAACAATTTACCTATTTTCTATGTATTACATATAGGTATATATTTTTTCTGGAGAGAACCATATTGCTTTTTTCAACGGATGTAATGCCAAAAGATGTGGCCTCTTCTTTTTTTGAAGCAAATGAAGAACGCCGCCATCGCTCAATGACGCAATTTACACAAAATATTTATAGCTGCGCCGCTGCCGAAGCCTGAATTCGTAGCCAGGAGGCTTGGCGCTAGATAGTCTCCAAAGTGAAGGTCTCTTACGAGGCCTCCTCTATAGGTCTCACCCCCCCTTTTCCCCCCATATCGACTATCTACTCTAATGCACGTAGACGCATGTACGTACGAGATCATGTTAATGTCACGTAGTATAACTTCAGAAGCAGCATCAAGCAGCAAGCAGCAAGCAGAAGCAGGTAGACGGCTGATCTAGAGATCTCAAACCCAATCTCATCAACTCTCCGCTACCGAATCATGATAGAGTCCCAAAGTCTGTAGTTAATCGGTGAAACCAACACTATCCGATATGGCAACACCTCGAGTGTATCACAGCATTCGGACAAACTTCCTAGAGGCTAGCCACAGCAGCCAGCATGTTTCTTTATCATCTTTTTATTTTATATTTTATTTATTTTCCTTCCTTAATGTTTTAGAACAGTGGCTGATGGTAATGTTTCATGTTTAAATCAACACTCCTACCACGTTTGCCGAATCCTTCCCTAAGACTTGTTCTAGGTAACCCATCGAGAGACATTCGGAAGTGACGTATTCTCCACGTTGGCGTGCTTCACAGCGTCGACGACGTACCGAACATCATCAAGTTTTCCTCTTATCAACTTCCGATATCGCAAGTCTTCTTCTTCTTCTTTTCAACCTTTTTATTTTATTTTTGTATTTTTCTTTTTTTACTTTGATATAAAACAGCCCATGTTGATTACTTGCGCACTTGCGCAACGGGATACAACTTGCGAAGACTATGGGTTGAACAATGGCGCACTCCACGCGATGCTGATATATCGTCCGATGTAGTTTACCATTCCTAAGTGCCGCGGGATCGACCAGGCACCTAGAAGCAGCACCACCACCCTACATGCAGTACGCCTAGTCAGTCAGTCAGTCAGTCAGTCAGTCAACCAGCTTGCCTGTCCCCCAGCGTCTTAATAGAATAGTGAGGCTATAGTCGTTGCGCGCCATCGCGGCCACTTGCACATTCATCACGACCGTGATAGCAACCGTAGAACGCGAAAGTAGCGTGTTTTCCCGCCACACCGGCTCAGGCGTGACTATTCACATGGCCTGCCGACCTTGGAAGCTGGTAAGAAATACGCCCGTATAATAGGTAGGCTATCGTACCACTTTGCTGCCGTTCAGAGACCTACTTCCCAAGCCATCGTCGATCTCGCCCTATTTAGTGAGAATGACTCCATGTCTCCATCACGTAGACCTGTTTTTTTCCTTCCTTCTCCTACCTTCACCTTGCAAGAAATCAGCACATATTCACAACTCTTAGACAAGAACGCAACAATGGCAACACCAGATACAAGATGTTATAATTGCCGTAATGCTATTTAATGCTATTTTTAAAATTGAAGGGTTGCGCATATCGTCGATCGACGGGGGGAGATACCAATGAGAACAGGGCAGCGCGCCGCGGGAAAATCTGCCGGTTGAATTTGTGGATCATATGAGTCAGATTTAATATAGATCCGCAACCGCATCGCATCCCTCTTTGCGACGGGCTTGCGCCCGGCAAGTTGCCCGTGTTTGAGGTGATGAAAGAGCCGGGCGGGCAGGCGGACAGGCGGCCTGGGAAGTGGGGGGAGGAAGAACCTTGTAGTAAGTATTTACTTATAGGTCTCCTGTTGAGTTTCACGGCTCATGCGGATATCTTTTTTTCCGGTAGTCTCTCGGGAAGTTTAAGTTAACAGGTAGGTTAGGTAACTAGTTAGGTATAGTCGATGCTTAGGAATTATAAGGAAAAGGTGCTTGGACGTTTAATTAATAAAAGGGTATAGGGATCACACATCACATGAGTTAAAGTTGGTAGTGGATATGTAAAATCTTGATTTATAGTAATTATTTACGTAAAAATTTATTCGAATAGTAAATAAAGATATTGGGTCTTTGATCTTGGAGTTTGAGGTTTAATGATATTGAAATAGTATAGTTTATGCGATAGGTACTCAATTAATAAAATATATACTGACGGACCGGTGGCGGCTATGACAACTGGCAATAGAAAGTACCTTAGTACCTGTTAACTTAGGTACCTAACATTAGATTAGATAATCAATAACTTGATATCAATCAAACCTTTTATCGATAAGCCGCGCTTAAGTGACGCTGTACAATTTCACTACGATTTGCATTACAATTTGATCATCCAGCCGCGCCATTGCCTTCGCCTTCGTTATTGAACATTGAAAATACAAAACTTCATATCAAACTTCTAGCACTAGGAAATTCTAATTCTAATGCCAAACGAACCAAACTAAAATATTAATAAAGGGAAACCTATATTCAAGATGACGAGTCTCAAAAGACCGCAGGGTACCGACTCGTATTCTCCGAATCTCTCAAGCAAGACATATGTGAGATCTACCAAGAGCGGCAAGGTCCAAAAGATTGTGCGCGAAGTCTATCTTCGTGAAGATATTCCTTGTTCATCCAAGCTATGTTCAAAATGTCTTGCCAAAGCACCAAGAAACGCGGGCGGAGAGTGTGAGTTTTCGTATTCAGTTAGCAAGAAGCTCTCATAGTTATCGAGACTAACTTCAACTCTAGTGAGCCCGTTTATCCTCTCAGACAAGCCAGCAGGTACCAAGGCTTACCCGCAAGGACATTACCTTGTACCAGACACAAATGCTCTGCTTAATGCCATGGATCTATTCGAACAGAGCTCTGCATTTTATGACGTTGTTATTTTACAGACCGTCCTAGAGGAGCTACGGAACAGATCTTTACCGCTATATAATCGGCTGATTGGCCTGACCAAAAGCGAAGATAAGCGTTTCTATGTCTTCTTCAACGAGTTCAGATTCGAGACCTACGTACCTCGAGAACGGGACGAAACCATCAACGACAGGAATGACAGGGCTGTACGGCAAGCTGTCAAGTGGTACAATGACCACCTAAACCAGAGCAAGAGCAAGCAGTTACCGGTGACGGTTATGCTTACAGACGATAGATTAAATATCGAAAAGGCAAAAAAGGAGAATGTTCCGGCCACTACATTACGTGACTACGTATCAGGACTCGAGGACGCAGATCGACTACTCGATATGATTCCCGAATCGCAAGAGAAGGGCATCTCCAGAGATAAGAATACCTCTGAATTCCTATATCCCGAATATTATACCCTCTCAAAGATGATGACAGGAGTCAAGAGTGGCATCCTCCATCAGGGTATCTTTAATGTATCGCCCTACAATTACCTTGAAGCCTCGATCAAGGTCCCCGCGTTTCCGAAAGCACTCATTGTTCTCGGACGTGAAAACATCAACCGTGCAGTAGACGGAGATGTTGTGGTCGTGGAAGTTCTTCCCCAAGACCAGTGGAAGGTGCCTTCTACCAAGATTATCGAGGAAGAGACTATCACGAAGAACGAAAGTGCCGATAATGAAGAAGGTGGTGATATAGTCACCGAACAGGAGAGGCGAGCTCTACAAGAGCAAGTCAAAAAGACACAAGGTTTAAGCACAGAAGGTCGACCTCAGCCTACTGCGAAAGTGGTCGGTATAGTCAAGCGAAACTGGCGTCAATATGTTGGTCATGTCGATCCATCATCTGTTGGCCGATCTGGCACCCAAGGCAGAAAGCAAGAAAAGTGTTTTCTTAATCCCGATGGATAAGAAAGTACCAAAGATCCGCTTACGTACAAGGCAAGCTGGCGAGATTGTCGGAAAGCGAATACTCGTTGCAATCGATTCGTGGGATCGCGAATCTAGACACCCCGTCGGTCACTTTATCAGGTCTCTGGGTGAATTGGAGAGCAAGGCCGCGGAGACTGAGGCGCTACTGCTCGAGTACGATGTCCAATACAGACCTTTCCCAAAGACGGTGCTAGATTGTCTCCCTAAGGAGGGACACGATTGGATAGTACCACCTAGCACTGACGATCCTGGCTGGAAAGATCGAGAGGACCTTCGAGGCCTTCTTATCTGTAGTATCGATCCTGTTGGTTGTCAGGATATCGATGACGCGTTACACGCAAGACCAATACCAAATGGAAACTTCGAAGTCGGTGTTCATATTGCAGATGTTTCACACTTCGTGAAGCCGAGCAACGCTATGGACACCGAGGCAAGCATCCGAGGAACGACCGTCTATTTAGTAGACAAGCGTATCGATATGTTGCCGATGTTGCTAGGTACCGACCTTTGCTCCTTGAAACCGTACGTAGAGCGTTACGCGTTTTCGGTGCTATGGGAAGTCAATCAAGACGCTGATATCATCAACGTGAGATTCACCAAGTCTGTTATCAAGTCTCGTGAAGCATTCAGTTACGAGCAGGCACAACTACGCATCGACGATGCATCTCAACAGGATGACCTAACCCAGGGTATGAGAACGCTATTAATGCTATCGAAGAAGCTAAAACAGAAGCGAATGGACGCCGGAGCTCTGAGCCTCTCATCGCCCGAAGTCAAGGTCGAGATGGAATCAGAAACCTCAGATCCGATTGACGTGAAGACTAAGGCGCTTCTGGATACCAACTCCCTTGTAGAAGAGTTCATGTTACTCGCCAACATCAGCGTTGCGGGTAAAATCTATGAGGCCTTCCCACAAACAGCCATCCTACGACGCCACGCCGCACCACCTAAGACTAACTTTGACGAGCTAGCCAACCAGCTCAAGGTGAAGCGCGGAATCGAGTTACACTTCGACTCGTCAAAAGCGCTGGCCGATTCTCTAGACCAATGCGTAGACGCGCGAGATCCGTTTTTCAACACGCTGGTGCGTATCATGGCGACGCGGTGCATGATGAGCGCCGAATACTTCTGCGCAGGTACCCAAGCATTCCCCGAGTTCCGACATTACGGTCTCGCGTCCGAGATCTACACACATTTCACGAGTCCAATCCGACGATATGCCGACCTCGTCGCCCATCGCCAGCTCGCAGCCGCCATCGAGTACGAGCCAATGCACCCGTCGGTGCGCTCGCGCGGGCGCCTCGAAGCCGTGTGCAAGAACATCAACGTGCGGCACCGCAACGCGCAGCTCGCGGGCCGCGCCAGCGTAGCGTACTACGTCGGACAATCGCTACGGGGCCGGGTCGCGGAGGAAGAAGGGTTCGTGATGAAGATATTCAGCAACGGGTTCGTGGTGCTGGTGCCGAGGTTTGGTATCGAGGGCCTGATTCGACTACGGGATCTGGCGGAGCCGGAGCCGGAGAGCGTGTTCGATGCGGATACATATACGCTGAAGACTAGTGGGAGTCGGGAGGTTAGTGTTGAGCTGTTTATGAAGGTGGTGGTGCGTATACAGGATGTTAAGGATGAGGCGACGGGCAAGAGGGGTGCGAAGATGGAGCTTGTTAGGGCTGGTTAGATATTTTGACTTGAGGCTCGTTTGCTAATGGAATAGCACGACATGGTTATAAGAGTCGAGTGCCTACCTATCATAGGATTCTGTCGTCTAGGTATAGTTAATACACATGCCTCGTCGATAATAGAGAATTGTCACTCGTGAACTCTAATCTCATACCTGTTCTACGCCCTGACTTAGGTCTTAGGGTCTCATACTTCACTGCTTAACGACTTTACTAAACAACATGCTTCGCCCCGGGAAATAAGTCGTCTCGCATAGACTTTGCTACTACGGACGGTAGGAATACGAATGAATTAAGTGTTAACTGTGAGGTTGTCAAGCACTGCGACGCATTTATTCCTCGACAGAGCTAATATCTCTCCGGCCATCCTGACTATCTGTAAACTCTTTTCCACGGTGTCCGTCTTACATAGGTACCTATAACATCAGCGACTTACCTAGGTTAGGAGATAGGTAGTTACTAGATCTTATGCCAGAGCACTAAGGTTAGGTAGGTAGGTAGGTAGGTAGTTACTACATCTTGGCCCGCGGATATTTCCAAGGAGGAGGAATGCCCGATGTGTGTAGTATATTGTTAGCCTTGGCTAAATGCCTCTCTCTACATAGACTTTAGAGAACGAATCTACGTGACTTAGGTAGGTAGTTAAGATGTAGGTGTATGTACCTATGTATGGTTCTTATAATTGCCTAACCAAGTATTTCCCTGGAGGGATCACGTATATACATATATACCTCCTACCCGGGGTATCTACCTATATATCTACGCATCTTGTATATAGGAGACGGCATGACTTCGAGTTGTATATATATTCTAACCCAATATGAAGTAGTATCCGTCTATGAACTTTCCAAGAGAGCGGCTAGTAAGCTTCTACGAGGGCTCTTTGACTTACTAATTTATTAACTATGTAACTACAGCACTAATGCTGGGAAAGTAGTATCGCATTGACTTGCCTGGGTCCTGATGCCCTGTAGGATGTTAGGTAGGTATATATGTATCCTCACTAGATCATCTCCATACATAGACATCCCGAGCTCTTACATAGTTAGGTATGATACGACCTAACCTACCCTGCCCTCATTACAGGTAGGTAGGTAAGTAGGTAGGTAGGTAAGTTCGGTATCCTTACCGACAACAAACCCCCTAAATCCAAAGCCATCCTGTCCATCCATCTATCTATCTACCAATTCCATCCAGACACACCACCGTCTTCAAAGCAAACCCGTATATTTCGTATCGTATCGTATCATATCATATCGTACCGACATGACATACCTACATATCTACATACATAAAATCCCACAGACAGACCTTAGTTCGCAGCAGCAGCAGCATCGGGTTCTTCCGGACAAGCGAGCGCTCTCTGCAAGCGAGTAATGACAGCTTGGCCACGACGCCTCATAGGCTACTACACTATCTACCTACCTACCTACCTACCGTACCTATGCATCTAAGAACCGCCGCCCCTGGCCTGGCATTTGACATCTGGCCTGCTCCCGGTACCCTGCATAAGAAATCCCTATATACATACATACATACATATCAACGCCAGCTGCAGAGAGACGAACAAGGCGTCCGCGAATAGGAACCGCCCGTCCGGAACTTACCGCGCAAATGCCGGCGCAGCCTTCGATATGTATGGTATGTATTGAGATGGGCGCGCATGTACATATGCACATACGTACATATATGCTCGCGCGGGCTAGCCATAGCTTCCGCCGTGGTTCTTCTTCTGTGCGTTGCCGGGTCCCCTATTTACTAGGGAGGCGAGAAAAGCTTGGGGGTCATACATATCTTAGGTACATACATATTGCGGATGCATGGGCTACCTAACTAACCGTTCCTAAACGAGGGGATATTACGTGCAAATCTACAGTACTATATGTATAACTACGGGGGACGATGGGATTCTAGTTAGGAATATCTACGTATAGTTAATCCAACATTGAGAATATTGCACATACCTACACCACGTACAATTTAACCAGTAACTCTAAAGACACAGTACAGATCGACTAAAGAAACAGCACATCCACTTTGCACGTGATGAAAGCCACTACAAGCCACCACAAGCCACCATGCACGGCCATTTAAAACTGTACCTAACCCCATGCATATACCCCACTTGCATGTAACCAAATGAAATTTCTATGATTAAAAGTGGTGTTTAAAAAGAAGAAAAAGAGAAAGAGAAAGGAAAGAAAAGAGAAAGAAAAGAAGAAAAAAGAAGAGAAATAAAAAGAGAAAAGGAGAAAAGGGGGAGAGAAAGGGAAGAGAGGGAGGGAAAAGAAAAACCGGGAGGAAAGAAAGGAAAAAAGGAGGAGAAAGGGGGGGAAAAGAAGGAAGAAAAGAAGGAAGAAAGAGGACGGAAAGAAGGAAGAAACGGAGAAAAGAAGAAAAGGGAGAGGAGGAGAGGAGGGGAAGGGGAAAAGAAGGGAGGAAGGGGAGGGAGAGGGAGAGGAGAGAAGAAAAAAGAAAAAGAAAAGAAAAAGAAAAGAAAAAGAAGAGAAAAAGAAAAGAAAAAGAAAAGAAAAAGAAAAAGAAAAGAAACAAAAAGAAAGGAAGGAGAGGACGGAAGAGGGAGGGAGTGAGGGGATTGAGGGGAGGGAGGGGATGGAGTGGGTGAGGGGAGGTAGGTGAGGTATGTAGGAGGGTTGGGTTGTATGTGGGGTAGGTGTTTTGGTTTAGTTATTGAGTTGAGGTATTTTATTTATTGGATTGTTTTATTTATTTTTTATTTATTTATTTTATTTATTTATTTATTTATTTTTTTTTTTTTTATTTATTATTATTATATTATATTATTACGTAATATTAATAAAATATTTATTAAAAATATGTTATATTTAAAGTGAAAAATTAGAAAAATAATAAGCCAAGTTGCACGTGATTTGGACCGAATCTGGGAAAGTTATATAAATTAATATATATTAATATTATAAATATTTCAATATCTACCTAAGTATTTATGTATCAAATGTGTGGTCGGGTGCACGGTTGGCGCATCTCACGTGAAAGTGGA